TGAAAATAAAAAGAAAAAAAATTGAAGATGCGGGGTACCGATCCCAGTCATTAAGCCATAAAAAGATAATACTCTGCCATTCCATTGAGCTACATCCTCAATTCTCAATTGTAGAGTTTTTTATATTTATTTATTAATTTTCTTTTTGTTCTTTTATTTTTCTAGGATATGTTTTATTTTTCTTAATCCGAAAATAAAAAGAAATAATTGGAAATGCGGGGTATCAATCCCCAGTCATTATAATACTCTTCCATCGAACTACATCCCTAATTTTTGCTTCACGTTGATAATGTAATTTGCTAAGTTAATTTTTATATTTCTTAACCTTAAAATAAAAAATAAATCTTAGAGATGGTATTGATCCCCAGCCTCTAACAGAAAAAGGCAAATCCTCTTCCGTTGAGTCACATCCCCATTTGCCGCTCGTAGAGTTCTTCATATTTATTTACTAATTTTCACTTTGCTAATGCATTTTTCTTTAGGATTTTTTTTTTTTTTTTTTGGCTAGCTATTTGAAGGTAGAGACAAAATCCCAGGCTATAATATAACATCGTTTATAACATGCATAAGATGGGAAAAAATCCCATTTCATTAAAATAACAGAAACAGTGAGATGTTTGTTTTCTCATTAGAAAGAATCCTCTAACAAACTGTGCGTGTTTTAACAAACTGTGGAAGCAAATTGTGTCTGCTTCTAATTGTACAACAGATTTTTACACAATAATTTTGCAAGCAAATGACAAGCGTACAGATACAAGCTGCCTCTGGAACATAATTAACTTACTAAACGATGCTCCCTATACTCAAAGCATCACAAATTTACATTGATGTAAGATAAGAAGAAAAAAATTTTCACCACCCCAGAAAAAATTTAACATCTTAGAGACGTGAGAACCAATAACAATCTTGTTGCTTTTCTTCCTCCTCTCATTGAGCATATGCTGGCAGAAGTACATTCTACGCATTGCAAAGCACAGTATCTCTATGCGCTTTCTCCTTTCCGCCTTTTCTTTTCGTTTTTTCGTTGATCACGTGCTCCTGGTAAATAAAAGAATCGAATTTTAATGAAAACCAGAGAGAGCTTATCACAGAAAGAACTTGAGCAGAGCTAGCCGAAGAGGGAACATACTCTTCTTTTCCTCACGACGTTTTCTTTTCAAGTCGACTGCTGTTTTTCGATTTTCCCTAGCTCTATCTGGATTAAATGAAACCTGGAAGAAAAAGAGAGCATGAGATAAAAACAAAACAGAGAAAACAGCAGGTAACATGTATTGACCTTCAGGTACACGAACAACTGAGTAAGTAATATTATCAGCTAGACTGGGTGAGAACTATAATCAGGCAGCCGTATACATTAAAAGTAGATGAATAATCTCGGTATTGCTAGCAACTCTATTAGCAGGTAACTGTCCTTAACATACGCTCTTCAAGAAAGCAAAGGTAAACCGGTACTTCCAAGTTCCCACATGATCGAGGATGGTCATCTTCTCATCAAGCCAGGTCATCAAGCCGCGTAGGAAATGCAAACTGAAGCCCACAGACTGGTGTGAGCCCCGTCTTTTCCTCCCCATGCTTCCTCCCTCCTTACGGGCACATAGCTTGCTTGGCACAATAGTGTAGCGAATTAAACTAGGTTCTATATGAAATTAACTTTAAACTGCAACCGCCTGATATTTCCCTCTGGCAATCTCTTATGTTTATGTGAATGGTGACGCACAGCTGTGAGTGAGTCCCTCTGTGCACGCAAGGGGATTGGTCGATCGACTTGACTTCCGTCATTAATGATTTTTGATTGGCCTTGCCCCATAGTGGTCCAATGAATTTGAGTCCAAAAACAAGTATCAACGCTAAGTACTGGTAGTATTCTCGGTCAAAGTCCTTATGTCGGACTCCCATGGCGTTCATGTCAGTCCCTTGTTTATACAACAAAAATAGGCCTAAATAGTGTTCAAATCCAATAAATTGATGATCGTTATCAAATTCATATATGTAATGATTAGTTATCTTGATAACATGCTCACTCACAACATCGACACAAGGGCATCATCAAATAAATGCAGGTGATATACACTTGTGCATGATACATGAGAAGCAGAACGCAGACATCAAGTTTAGCTAAAGCTGAATTTAAAGGAACTTTACCTCTTGCCCAGAACACCGAAGAGCTTCAAGTGGTTCAACAGAATTCTGACCGATTACAACAAATTTTGCTCTCCTTTTATCTTTGGATTGCAATTTTTCTGCTGTTTTCATTTTAGATATCTCTTCAAACTGCTTCTGATGAAGCAGGGAAATGCCAGCCTGAGCAAAAGAAATAAATACTTAATAACACATTCAATTCCATAATTTCCTAAATTTGCCTTACTATAATCAATTTTTTTAATAACACAGCGCACAGTCGAACCCAAGATTATGGGCGCCATATCGGAACCTCCAAACCATCCGGATTACCCATGGTGGCCGACTTAATATAATCATAATATAAACCAAATTAACATACATCCCTAGGAAAGTTATGAGCGCTTGTTCCAGTGCAATATTAAAGAAAAAAGAACGTCAAGTAATACAATAATAGTCGGAAAAACTGAGAGCTGATTCCAGAAAGACCACTAAACAAGCATGTGTTGTAAAAATTTTAAAAGATTTACGTTGTTAATAAATACCCTGCTCCCAAGAATTACATAAAAGCTTTCAACAAATAATAGTTCTTATGATCTACAATTTACTTTCACCAGAACTGAATATAAAATGTAACAAGATTAAGAGAATAAGGTGAAAAAAGCAAGCTCTTTAATTCTCATGGTTCAGGTTGTCTCAGTTTCTTCCATGGAGGGGTTGTTCATCGACAATGAAAGCAGGTTTTTCCTTTTCGCCATGGCCATGGAGATTGGCTACTATCATCAGATTCCCTACTTTCTGTTCTAAATTAAACGATCATTCTTAATATTATCATTTTTATTATGTTACTTCTCACTTTAAGGGGCAATAATTGGGCTGTGGGAAAGAGCACATACTTAACGCAAGGAAAAGAAATGGAGAAGAAAACATCATTGCAAGTAAAAGAGAAAAACCTTGCAACTCCCAAGAGGTAAGTAGCTACAGGAGATACAGTCAAGATAATGATGTAACTTGTAGATAGAATTTTTTTCCCGGGAATATACTCACGATCAGTTTAGAAATAAAAAGTAGAGAACAAATAAACAAAGAGATGAAAAAAAGTACCCCAGCAAAATAGCGCCTTGAAAATGTTTTTGGTTGCAGAGGCTGCGCTAAAAGATCATTCAGAGCCTGCAGGAAAAAAAAGAAGAAACAACAAAGAGGAGTTATTTTATACAAATCAAAACCCAGCCAACTCATCACCAGCAAGAAGCATGAAAATAATGTAAAAATCCTACTCTCAAAAAATACTCCAATTAATATTGTGTAACTGAAACGTTAACTGCTGAGAATCAGATACTACCTGCTCCAGTCTCTTTAAATGAAGAGAACTGATCTTCTTCTGCTTATGGGCATGCACTGTGTCTTCTTCACTACCACTGTCCTCCACCGTCAGCTCCAAAGATTCAGCATTACGCTCAAGCCAGCTCTTCTTTGAATTTTCCTGGAGAAAAAACACAAGGAGAAAAAGCAGATGGAAGATTCGTAGTAAGCAACTATTTGAACTACTAATCAAAGAATAAACTACTCGTTTCATTAGAAGTAGTAAACTAATATGATCCAAACAAATCTAAAATGTCTCTATGAACAACATAAAGTTTTGCTTTTAACTTAGTCCCAACGAACAGCATCATTAGCAGCAAATAGTCTTGTATTTACAAGTTGAACAGAGATCTACAGCTGTAGCAAGTGATTGAACATCAACAAATCTAGGACATAAGGAATATAAGGAGAGGAAGATTCTACCTAGTCTGTATGGGCCCTTGCAAGGTTTGAGCTTGCTAAACTGGCCAAACAGTATTAGACAATGTTTTAAAAAGCGGAAAAGCAAGGTGAAGCGCTAGACCCTTTAATGAAGCGAAGTGTAAGCATCAAAGTGTGAGGCGTAAGTTTTATGAGTTTTAAGTATTTTAATTCTAAATTTATAAAAATTATGAACATATAATAAATAGTGATATAATAATTTACAAATATATACATTCATGTCCTGATTAGTAAATAAGAATTAAATATGTGAACTATAGAAACTAATCATAATAAACTAAGCTACATGCATAACATATATATTTTTTATTTACACTCACAGGGTCATATTGAAAATACATAGGGGCATTTCAATGTTAGTAAAATATCATTTTATATCCTCCTATCTTGTCTAAAGCGTGTGCTTCAAAAGAAAAGCGCTTTATGAAGTGTGAAGCGCACATTTCAATTATGCTTTAAGCGATGAGGCGTAAACTTCAACGGATAAATAGCAGCACTCTTGAGTTTCGAAACATTTACTCGTAAAAAAGTTGTGAAGTGAGTTTTGAACTGAGTTCCGAAAAAGCATTTTCAAACATTGGTATTAGATAGTTTTTAAGTATCAATCAGTATCTCATAGAAAACGAAAAGGTTGAGAAGAAACACAGGCACTTTGTTTAGTCTTCTTCTCTGTTTATTAGCAATTAGCACAATTGAACAATTAACCTGATGCTTCCCACCCAACCACCAATACAGACGTAAATGTGCACGAAGACCAGGTTCACATGGTATTATGCAAATCAACCATGATTCAGAAGTGGTAACAACAATACCAAAAAGGGCAAAAGGAGTAAAAAGAAGAGGAAGTAGACAAGAGTCTGGGGAAAGAGGAGAAAGAAAATGACGAAACAACGCATGAGGAAAAAGAAGATATAAATGAAAGCATGTTAACGAAGATGTAGAATAACTTGAGGTTCTAAATGCTAAAAATTATCGAGTTTGAGATCATATACAGAAATTTCTGGTTCCTAGAGTATCTAGTTCCCATATATTCGTCTTTCAAAATTAGGGCTGTCCCAATGATCCTTCCTTCTTTAGGTAGCCCCAGATAAAAGTTTCTCGCGCTTCTATAAGATTGAAAGAAAGCTAAACAAAAGCAAATTTTCTGCACCAACGGTAGAAGCATTTCACTTAAAAATACCCATGAAATAATGTGTTAAATAATGTAATGTAATCTTCTGGACTTACATATATCAATAGTACAGTCATGATGGACAACTATGCATCTAAATAAGCAGTTGAGCATCCAATTCAAATTAGATTGATGCTAGGCATAAAAAAGTTTTCTTTTCACCTGCTTGGTTTTCCGCTTGTGCTCATCTATTTGGCGTGCAAGACTTAACCGTTTCATTAGTCCAGGCAAGTAGCTATCATCTAAAGGAAACCTCTGAAAGCTTTCCTGCAAATTGAATTAATGAAAGCTTCCACGATTTTAGCATCAGAAGAAAATTGTACATAGCCAAATGTAAAGTAACATCTATGGCATTAAGATAAACTTCAAGTAGGCACATCTATTTGGTGAAAATGCATGTTAAAAAATGTAATTTAAACTAGTCAGCTGCCAAAACTTTACAGGCGTGTAATTTATTGAATGTCATGGCTTTCGAGAAAAGTTCGAGGACGAAATTCTTTTAAGAGGGGAAGAATGTAAAACCCCAAAAAATTTGAATATTTTATGATAAATAATAATAAATATGTTATATATTTATAAATAATATATTATGATGTTTGAGTATGCTAGGAATTGGTTTGAGATCAATTCAATGTATATATGTATATATATAAGAGCAAATGCACAATTCATGCTCGATGTATAAATCTGAAAATTTATGACCAGCGAAGAAATTTTGTATTTTTCTCACAGATGTAGTTGGAATTTGGAAAAACTTAAAAGACAAAAGTTGTAGGTATCTTCAAGAGCTTTCCAACAAGTCTTAGATCACCTCATTCCGAGGTCGGACGTGAAAGTTATGGCCAAAATACCGAAGGTCATTTTCCTAGTCAGATTAGGATTTCGGGTTTGCATATATATAATCATGTGTTTTCACAAAAATTTACATTCTTACATCAGAGTTTCAACAGCCCCTCTTCCTCTCTCTAAATCCCTATCCCTAAAGTTGAGAATTTTGAGAGCTTTGTGAAGCAAATATCGACACGAGGGCGAGGTCATCAACGTGTAGCAAGGGAAAAACGGCTTGGTTGCACTTCTTTTTGGTTGCTGGTTATTTCGAAGGCTTAGAACGATGTCTAAGGCAAGATTATCTTCATCCAAACTCTTCCCCATAGTTAAATAACTAGTTAGATGTTTAATATGATGTTGAATATGTGTTTTCATGCTTGAATCTTAACATGATGTGATAAAAGTTAAATTTTTGATGTTAAAACATAAACCAATGCTAAATTAGTAATTTTTTTCTTGCTGTTTATGATAGTATCATGATCATGATCATTAGGATTTTTCATAATTTTATTTATATATGAGAAATTTAAGAGATGTACTAAATAAATATTTTCTGCAGAAAACTACAGCAATTGTATCATGTTTAACTAAGATTTCGAAATAGAAAATAAACTCCAAATTTAACCAAACCAGTGCCAAATGAAAGATATATGTATCTAGTTTCTAAAACAGAAGACTAATCTTAAAAATCATTTGTATAAAGAAAGATATGTTATGTTTACTAACAACATGTCCTGCAGAAAAACGGATGCACATATATAATGTTTAACTGGAGATTTGGGATAACAAATGAACTCCAAATTGAACCAAACTTATGTCATTTGAAAGATGTGTGAATCTAATTTTCAAAACAAAAAACCATTTGTAAAAATAGTTTTCCTAGAGAAAAATATGTTTGTTTTTCTAACAGATGTCACGTCTGTTTTTCCTGCTCGTTTTGTGGAGCTGTGTTGCGCCGTTTTGATGTGCGTTCGCGGAGTTTTGAGCCGCTTGATGTTACACGTTTAGTCATGAATATGTTATGTTATATATTTAAGAATCCCAAAGGGATTATGATAAATTTTGATTTGATCATATTTGAATTAGATATAGTTCATATACATGTTGGATGTCGTTGATGAGCACAGCTCAGTACTATATGGGATAGTGCGTCGACATACCAAATATACATGATTTATACATGAGTTGAATGTTGTTGATGAGCATATCTTAGTACTATATGGGATAGTACGTCGACATACCTGAGATACGTTACTTTTGAAAGTATACAAAATTATGTGTTGGTATTTTATTCTATCTCTCCAGTGATTGTGGAAGATATTATAAATACGATGTGTTGATATCTTATTTCTTTTACTGTCTTTTTTTTCTTAGTTGGGATCAATGATTAGAGATTCATAATTTGAGACTTAGTATATACATGAGGGTTTCCTTGTTTGGATTATTTTGCTCGACGTACCAGTCTCGTATTATGAATTTCTAATTATTGGTTTCATTAGATTGTCTTTTCTTAGTTCGGTATTAATGTTTAGATATCTATAATTTGAGACTTATGGTATATACATGAGGGTTTTCTTGTTTGGATTATTTCGCTCGACGTACTACGTCTCGTGTTGTAGGTTTCTAAATATTAATCCCACTTAGATACGGAAAAAATGAATCTAGGTAGACTATGCTTAATAGATAGAGCCTCCACTCCATCTAGCAGTCTTTTCCCTGGGGGCGGATGGAGATAATCTTGCTGTAGCACTCTGACGCTCTTGTTTTTTTTTTCTTTTAAAAATACCCTTTCAGGTAGCTCGGAGTTCCGGAAAGCCGCAGGATGACGGAGTTCTTGCATAGTCGCCGTCCCGAGAGATTTATTAGAAGCTCCACTGTAGTTTTAAATTTTATTCAGACTTAAGAGTTTATTTTCATTTTGTAAAGGCAATGAGCCTTAGTTCGACTTTCCGTTTTGATTCATGTTGAGACATCGTATGTTATTGCAGACTCCAAATATATTTCAGTTTATTTTCAGTTGAGACATGACTTTTATTTATGAGATATCATCTTCTTTATCATGTCTATTATTATCGTTCTACTTCTTTACCTGTTTTGTACATACGCTTTTATTTGACCCCATTAGAGGATATTACTGTGATTGATGAAATTTGTTGTTACGCAGTGTGGATGCATGACAGGTTTGACATCTCTGGGTTCACCTTGGACTGCAGCCATGAGTGAAAACGGGGACGTCACAGTTGGTATCAGAACCTCTAATAAATGAAAATAAACTCTAAGTCTGAATAAATTTTAAAACTACAGTGGAGCCTCTAATAAATCTCTCGGGACGACGACTATGCAAGAACTCCGTCATCTTGCGGCTCTTCGGAACTCCGAGCTACCTGAAAGGGTATTTTTAAAAGAAAAAGAAACAACAAGAGCGTCAGAGCGCTACAGCAAGATTACCTCCATCCGCCCCCAGGGGAAGGGCTGCTAGATGAAGTGAAGGCTCTATCTATTAAGCATAGTTTACCTAGATTCATTTTTTCCGTTTTTAAGTGGGATTAACATTTAGAAACCTACAACACGAGAGTAGTACGTCGAGCGAAATAATCCAAACAAGGAAACCCTCATGTATATACCATAAGTCTCAAATTGTAGATATCTAAACATTAATACTGAACTAAGAAAAGACAATCTAATAAAACCAATAATTAGAAATCCATAACACGAGACTGGTACGTCGAGCGAAATAATCCAAACAAGAAAACCCTCATGTATATACCATATGTCTCAAGTTGTGAATCTCTAATTATTGATCCCAACTAAGAAGTAAAAATGACAGTAAAAGAAATAAGATATCAACACATCGTATTTATAATATCTTCCACTATCACTGAAGAGATAAAATAAAATACTAACACATAATTTTGTATACTTTCAAAAGTAACATATCTCAGTCGTATAGTTCAATGATAGGTCGTATTCAAAATCGACATCTACCATACTTAGGCTATCAAGTAATTGTCTCAGTGCAACGGACTACCCTGTAGGTATCCTGAACTGTGTACACGGCTCATTAGTCTCATCGCGATCTCAGTGCATAACATGAGTACGGGACGGATTATCAAATAGGCATCCTAGAAATACAACTCACGAGTCTCATCGCACCCTAGTGCGGGACGGACGGCTAGATCAAGCCTCCTAAAATCCGACTCAATGGCCTGTACATATGGAATATCGACGTACTACCTCATGTAGTACTGAACTGAGCTCATCAACGATATCCACCTCATATAAATCTTTGTACCTCAGGTATGTCAACGCACTATCCCATATAGTACTAAGATACTCTCATCAACAACATTCAGCTCATGTATAAACCATGTATATTTGGTATGTCGACGCACTATCTCATATAGTACTGAGCTGTGCTCATCAACGACATCCAACATGTATATGAACTATATCTAATTCAAATATGATCAAATCAAAATTTATCATAATCCCCTTAGGATTCTTAAATATATAACATAATATATTCATGACTAAACGTGTAACATCAAGCGGCTCAAAACTCCGCGAACGCACCTCAAAACGGCGCAACACAGCTCCACAAAACGAGCAGGAAAAACAGACGTGACATCTGTTAGAAAAACAAGCATATCTTTCTCTAGGAAAACTATTTTTACAAATGGTTTTCTGTTTTGTAAACTAGATTCACACATCTTTCAAATGACATAAGTTTGGTTCAATTTGGAGTTCATTTGTTATCCCAAATCTCCAAATTTAACCAAACCAGTGCCAAATGAAAGATATATGTATCCGTGAAAAAACAGCAGAGACATCCCAGCCAAAAATATATACATTGATTATTGGAAAAGTCTTGCATAGTAGTACTCCCTTGAATCTTGATATGTATCCTATCATATTATTAAAAACATGTTTTAGAAGAATGGAAATTTTCTTACATGTGCATTGCACGCTTGCTAATTTGGAGTATCATAATACTTAATGTTTGCATAGGAAATACATAAGACACTTCTCGAAAAGGAGAAAAAATAGAAAATGGAATGATCTAAACCTTTGACATTGATTTGCATAGGGAGACAAACTTTGTTTTGTCACTAGGAGAAATTAATGCAATGCTGCAACCATCAGCAGAAGCACGTGCAGTTCTACCACTTCTGTGAATATAAACCTAAGAAAGCAAAGTAAGCATTATTATGCAGAAAATTAAATGAATTAACTCAATAGGAGATGTGATATCAATAACCTACGTCTGCTGAGTGTGGCAGTTGATAATGAACAACAGTTCTGACACCAGGAATATCAAGGCCTCTTGCAGCAACATCAGTAGCAATCAGTACTCCATTCTCATTTGCACGAAAATTGTCAATTGCCTGATTGATTCAACAACACAATGAGCAACATGTATAACAAAAAAGGAGTGTACATACCTTCAGCATGAAAAGGTAGATTATTATAGTTCTTACTTTCTTCAACTTTACTGCCTCATTATCAGCTTATTTTTCTGAGCAAGAAACCATATGTTTTGGCACTTTTACAAACCACTACACATCAAAATATAAGTTTCTCGGGCATTGACGGGGATTGGGCAGAATGAATAGGTATAGGGATTGGATGGAAGTCAGCCTGGGTGATAAGAGGATTGCTAACTTGGATAAAAAAAACATTCATATCGATTCAGAAATTCAAATTTCAGTCTTTACACACTTCCATAACTCTCTTTAACAAGCATAATGCTGTAAGTTAAGAAATAAATTACCATGTAGTTTAATAATGCCATTCAAACTAGAAATTAATTGCAAAAACACAGTAAAATGTCAAAGAAGCATTTGCAAGGATTTGAAACAAGCATCCAATAGACTTGGACCAGAGAATTTATGGGCGCATGCGAGCGGCAGACAGAGGTGTAAGCAGGCAATCTAAAGAAAAGGAAGCATCCAAAGTTAAAAAGAAAAGGTGCAAATGTATAAACTCCTGAACATGTACACAAGCAAGCATTCAAGTTATTCCCATTCATATAATATCCAAAAACCAAATGCATCAAATTAACAAGGTATCATGGATATTCAATTGGTGGTCAATGAATGCATGAATTTCAATGAGAATTTGATAGTATGAAAACAATTATCTTTCCATAAAAAATGATTTTAATCAGCTAGGGCTATTGTTTACTGATATTAACATTATGAGTTGCATTATGAATAGTAAAATAAGAAATTTGATAATGAGATTCTGAATCTTACCAACATTGCTGGAATCTTCGTACATTTGTCTGTACTTGGACCTCAAATAGCTTGGTAAATCCCCTTTTTCTCTTTTTGAGGAAGAGGATTCAAAATTTATATATGGCATTCCTTTCAGTATAGTAGGAAGATCTTGTCCCAATTGAAACATGGATCTTTTACTTGTATAGGTGCCGTTGGAGGAGGTGGCCCTATGGTTGAGAACTCTCATGTTTCTGTTGCCATGTTTATAATTAAAGAATCTTCATATTCGCTTAATTCTGATGCTAAGTCGTCTTGACTTTCATCAGAATAATAGTTTAATAAGGAACTATTATTGTCTAACAATTCGTTTGCTTGTTGTAAAGCAGCGAACTCTGTTTGAGGATTCTGAACTTGGTGTGTTAAGGTTTGTATTTGTTGTCTAAACACAACTCTATTCGAGGAGTCTAGGGTTTTAGATTGAAGGATGTCTGACAAACCCTTCATTTTCATCATCATATTCAAATTATTAGTCCAGTGAAATTTCCTAAATGGTCTTTCACTAGGTTCTGGACTTTTATTTTTAGGTTTTAATTCTTCAATTTGTTTTTAAAGATTAAGGATATGTGTGTTCATTTCCTCTATAGGATACACCATATCTATTACAGAATTCAACATAAACGTTAAATCTTGTATGATAGGTGACTCGGTAGAGTCCTTGGGCACATGCAGTAAGTGCTTGTAGCTTTTTGGCTCAGCACTTAATTTGCAAGAGTCTAAAACCATTCTAGACATAATTTTTCTTTTTCCTATATTTTTTCTTTTTCCTTCTCCTTTTTCTATCTCCTATTATGTCATTCTCCTTTTATTACATATGTTTATTATCTATTTTACTTATCAAGGGTTTGACCATTTTCTCTCCGACTCAACACTCTATGGAGGTGGCTTTCTCCCCAGAGTAAAGACTCGAACCTAGCAACCTAGGTGTTGCATCCATCGCAACCTTATGACCACAATCCTAGTATGCTGCTTCAGAGAGAGAGCCCAGTCTAGTTTCGTTTCCTACCTCTAGGTGTAGCTTAATAAGTAAAATAAACATAAACATAATAATAGAATTTAAACTACATAATAGAGACAGAAATTGGAAAAAGAAAAAAATTAAAACTTCATATTATTAATAGAGATAAAAACTTACAAAGTTTATGTTACAGGACAACCGGGACAACCGGGACAACCAGGCTGATACCACTCTCAAAACACTCTATTTTTACAAAGGACTCTCAAAAAACTCTGATCCCCTAATTGATTCTGGACCTCCATATTTATAGAGTTACAACCGACTTAACTTTTCCATAAAGTAACCGACTTAACTTTTACAAAGTAACTTTCTAAAAGTGGCTTTTACAAAGTTGCTTTAATAAAGTGGAAGAGTGGCATCCTTTAGCATCTTCTAAAGTCTTCTAGATTTCTCTTAGGCCCACCAGGCTTCAACTTGTTTATGGTACAGTGTCTTGATCAAAAGAGTATACTAGGAATGTGCCTCCTTCAGTGCTCATTAATTCATACTGTTCCTTAGCTTTTTGAGCTATCGGGCCAAAAACCAGTTCTTCCTCGAATTTTTCTTGTCACTCTCGTTCCTTGAATACTAAATGTGGGAGATAAAGAATAATAAAATTTTTAATAACCATTTTCTCATTATCGTAATAATACTTCAAAGAACTCGATAGCAGCAAGTTCCCTTTCTTCTTCAAGATCATATTCCTTTTTATAAAAAGGAACATGTCTGAAATGAGGTTCCCTTACCAGAGGATCAAGTCACCATATCTGGTAGGAAAGATATTTTTCTAATAAATTTTCGTTCTTCCCATATTGACCATATGGTGAATTCAAACACATGCTGGAATTTCTCAGTGTCTTCAAGTGCCTGACTGCAGATCTCAGGAATGAAGGACTTATATTCGTCTGACTTTGTTTTATCAACATATTGTTTATGAACCAGACCTTTGTTTTATCAACATATTGTTTATGAACCAGACCTTTCTAGATATGTTCTTTATGTAAGGGTATAAGCTCAAAACTAGCTAGCACCCTTGGTCTGTCATACTAGTTTAGTATGACTTAGGATGCTGATTTAAACAATGAACTAATGCCACCGTCTTTCAACTTTTTAAAATAAGAGAGCATTGCTTGATCATCGATCAGGTTTCTCTGATAGCTGTTGAATATATCTTTTAATTTTCTCTGAACTTGATATTTAATATCAAACTTGAAGTAATTAACAAGTTTGACAAAATTGTCAATTTTACTCGCTGCCAAATCTTTAATCTCAACTTTCTGTACGATCATTTTAACATTTTAAGACTTCTAAATTTTGAGCTTAGAGACTCTAACATCTGTTCTTTTTGGTTCTTCATTGCCCTTGACATCGTCAGGGATGATTTACCAACTAGGTTTTTCATAATATTTCTGTATTTGTGGTACCCTTGTTCAAGGTTTTGAATCCAATGATTATTTTCCTTAATTACTTTTTCCAATGCTGATAAGCACGTATTCATAACTGGAGTGGAAACCCTTATTTCTTGGAGTTTCTTCCATAAATTGTTAATTGCCTTATAATCGTCCTCAGGTAAACTAGTATTGTACCAATTTTTTACGACGATTTCTTTAAATTGAATAAGCCTTTTCCAATGTCCTCGGGGAACATTGGGCTTTTTACTAGTAGCAGATTTTTCTTCTGCTTCTCCCTTTGTTTTACCCTTAACGGGAACAAAACCAACTTCAGATGCCTCTTTTTTAGGGGTCTCACTGAAGTTTGATGCACCTGGTACAATACGGACATTCATAAATATTATCAGTCGTCGTAATAATTTTTATAAACTCGGCTAATTCATGAATATATCTTTTTCTACTAGCAGCTTCTTCAAAGTTCATAATGGAGCATAGAGATTTCATAGCTTCATTATAACCTTTAATTCCAAAGCTACCAGGATCAGTAAGAAATCGATATATTATTAGAATCTCTCTTTTTTCTATTTCTAGTCCTAAATTGTTATTTAGGGCTTCAGTTATTTCTAGCTGTAGTGAAAGTTTAGTTTTATTACATTTATCCTTTACCTCTATTTGAGGGAGAGCAAATGCAGGCTCTTTGCTTTTATCTTTATCTGGTGGTTGTTTGGATGAACTAGCCATGCCTGGAGAGATAATCAGCGTCGATATTAGTGAATCCAAGAATATAACGAACTTTTTAAATATAATTTTCTAATTCTATAGACCATCTAATTCTGCACACATATTTCTCTGTTAGAGAGTTTGTTTTTCTCTTGAGAAACTATGCAACAGGTAGATTATCCGTTTCAATGATGAATTCGGATGATAATAAATATATTTTTAAGGAACTAATAGTATTTTTGATAGCTAATAATTTCTTGTCATATGTAGCATAATTTTTCTCTGGACCTTTAAATTTTCTAGAGTAATATGCACATATTTCTGAATCTAATTGGTTGATCTTCACCTTTGACACAGGCTCCATCTTGGAGTGCGGGTGTTTTGGCGGAAGTACGAATAAGATTCCCGCCCAATGTGTGTCTGAAGCATCAGTCTGTATGACTAATGTATCTCCAGATTGTGGTTGATAAAGGATTTTTTGTTCCTTTATTTCTTTTTAATGTTGGCTAATTCTTACAATTGTTCATTAGTCAATGTAATTTTGATTTTTTTCTATATCCCATCGGGTCACTCCTTTATTATTTATTTTTTTGTATTTCCTCTGTTCTTCAGTTAGTTTGTTCTGAAGTGAGGAAACTTTTTTAGAGAGATTGGGTATATACCTTCTCCCATAATTTAGCAAGCCAAAAAAGCTTTGTAGATCTTTAAGAGTTTCAAAGTAGTCTTTGAACTCTTTGATCTTTGTAATGATGTGATCTTGTACTTCAATATAACCACTCTTAATTCTTTTTCCCAAATATTCGATATCCTCTTTCATTAGAGTTATCTTTTTGGGGGATAAAATTAAATTGAGCAATAATTTTACTACTGCTATCAGGTGTTCTTTACGTTCTTCTTTAGTTTTAGAAAAAACTAGAATGTCATCAATATAGACAACAATAAAAAGTAAATGCCCAAAAATGCTATTCATCCATTTTTGGAATACTTGTGGAGTATTTTTGAGACCAAATGACATAACATTCCATTCATAATGCCCACAATTAGGACAGCTGAATACCGTTAACCTTTTGTTTTGCTTTCTTCATCCTTAATTTTAATCTGCCACAATTTAGACTTTGCATCAATACTGAACCATCTAGCGTCTCAGATTCTATATAATAACAATTCGCTATTAGGGATGAAGAAACCATCAAACTTGGTGGCTTCATTAACCTTTTTATAGTTAATGATCATCCTAGCTTTCCTCTTTTTAGTTATACATGATTTCTAGCCATGAAGGCGAGAGAGGAATGGTTTGATTCTATTTTTGTATTAGATTGAGTTTGAAGAGTTTAGCTATCTGACTTTCAAACTCTTTTCTATCTTCAAGATTTGCAGCTATAAGATTAACCCTAATATTTTTTTCCTTTGTACTCATCCTTTAGTTGAATGGTACAATATCTAGGACTTTTGTTAAAATGTAACAAAGAGTGACAACATGGTATGAATCAATTTTTCAAAATCATTGGCTACTAGAATATTATAATTTAGTTGTTTGATTTCCTTTTGTTTTTTATTTTGTGGTAAGGTTTCTATCTCATCACGTTGTGCTGCAGGTGTTAAAGTGAAACCTTTTTCTATACGAAGCATAAAAGGCATTTTTTGTATAGAAAATTTCTTCTCATAAGAAACGTAAATTTAACAACATATTTATCAATGGTAATTGGGAACTAACGACATATGTTGTTATTTCCAATAATAATGTCTTCCATATGATTACTTTCCATAATATACGCAAAAAGTATCACAGGAACTTCCCTTTTATCAATAGTCTCAAAGATAATTGGGATTTTGACTTTTTCAGTCATAGTCATTGCCTTAGCATTAAAAGACGTAATAATTTGAGGTTTTTTGCAGGTTTTCTATAGGAAGAAGGAACAAATTCACCTCTGATGATGCTTATATTGGCTCATGTATCTATTAAGGTATAGAGCATAAAGCATTTATATTCACGGTATGCCATTATTACACCGGTAAAGCAATTTACCCATGTTTTCATTTCTAAATTTATTGATCCTATTTGCATTAGTTTTCAGTAATGACAGGACATTTTAGTTTTTCCACAGAAACATGCACACCTTTCCTTGGATTTAAGACTTCCTCTTTGTCTTTTGAATTTTCTTCTTCTTGTTGGGAGGAGGAAGTAGAGCTTTTTTCTTAGAATGAGAGACTCCTTGGTTTATTTATATATGTTGTTCGTATTGTATTACCAGAAACTATGAATGTTTCTTCAGGCATTTGTATTTTTTGTATTGTTTAAGATAATCTAAATTGATTGCCAAGTCTGGGTCAATTTTAAGAAGGTTGAATTATCTTTCCAGGTTGTACCTCAAATAAACTAATTACTTCTCTAGACATTTTGCTAAAGGTGCAGGTTTGACTGAGGGCTTATACAGATTCTCATTGGATGCTTAGCACTCGACTACTTAGTTTCATTTCTATTCTATTGAGGTTAATGCTTAATTTTGCCACATCACATATGTGTGGATCATTAAGCGCAACAGAATAATTCGGATGTATATTAACACCTAGAATTACGTTGGCTAGGTTGGATTTACATCCTCCTATTAAGGCATCTAATGGATTAGAGATAATTATTTTATCCATGCAGATTACCATAATAGATGTATCTATTCCAGACTTAAATTGCCCAGTAATTTTTACTTGGATGAGCCGTAAGTGAAGATATTTCATATCTTTATATTTTTCTTTTAATTTATTTATTTTTCTTTGATCGAGTGGAATGCTCTTAAAGCTATCTTCCCCATGTAATTCGATGTTTCCATCGACTCTATCAGATGTAATAATGTTTGTTAAGAAATTTGGTATTGAAAATACAAAGTTTCTTATAAACATCATTACGATGAGGTTTTGAAATGGCTAATTTTAGCCTTTCTATATCCTCACCTGACACTTGAAATCTCTCCATTTGGAGATCGTATATATCAGTTTCAGAAGATTAAGATTCAATATCTTCTCTTGATATACTGATTGATTCTTTATTCATCAGGTAAATTTGAGAAAAATCAATCTCCTCTTCACTTTATGATCCTGTAACTAATTCGTAATGCGAATTGTCAAAATCAAATTAAAGTTGCTTTATATCTACAAGATCTAAATCAAATTCAATTGTCCTCTATAATTATTTCATTAGTTTATTTTTTCTTAGGCCATTCATTTGCATAGTGGCAAACTTCTTGGCATATGAAACTAGTCTACGGCTTGAAACCAAGCAAAGAATGGATTGGTGGACAGAAAATATCTTTAAAAATTACCTAGACCATGGGATGTTCTTTTAGAAGACTCCATCTAAAGAAAGTCTATGAAGAAAATAGATCTAGTGGTGTTCAAAACTTTATAATAAGAGAATTAGAACAGTATTGTTAACTATCCAAATCTTTTAAACAAACTAAGAGCCAATTAAGAGATAGTGCCCTTGGACAAGCTTGTTGTGATAAAATCCAAGGATACCCATTAGAATATGGTTGTTCCAAACCATATAGAAGACAAAAACCTTTTAAAAAGAAATTTCAGAGACCATATAAATTTAGAAAAAGAAAATTTTCTTAACAACAAAATTGGTCCAAAAAGGGAAAAACTGTAGAAAGGAAAAAAATATACAGTAAAACCCCGAGAGTCAAAAAGGACGTGTAAATGTTTCATATGCCAAGAAGTTTGCCACTATACAAATGAATGTCCTAAGAAAAAACAAACCAATCATATAATTATAGAGGTCATAGATGAATTTGATTTAGATCTTGTAGAGATAAATTAACTTCAATTTGATTTTGATAATTCGTATTACGAATTAGTTACAGAATCAGAAAGTGAAGAGGAGATTGATTTTTCTCAAATTTACATGATGAATAAAGAATCAACTAATATATCAGGAGAAGATATAGAATCTTCTGAAGCTGATATACACGATCTCCAAGGGGAGAGATTTCAAGTGTCAGACAAGGATATAGGAAGGCTAAAATTAGTCATTCCAAAACCTCATCGTAATGATGTTTATAAGAAATTTGATAATAAGATTCTGAATCTTACCATCATTGCTGGAATCGTACCAGTAGAAGTCTTATTCTAAATTCTATAAAACAAACTTTGTGGTGGTCAATTCAAAGTGACATGTTGAGAATCCACATTTTCAATCTAAAACACCACGTCATATATGTTTGTTCCTACATCAAGTGGAGATTATTTCAATCTAAAACACCACGTCATATATGTTTGTTCCTACATCAAGTGGAGATTAAGTAAACAATTTCAATGTATTTTATGAAACCAAACCTACCAAAACTTGATCCAAATGTGTTAGAAAATGTGCAATCTTGACAACTACATGGATGCACGTTTAAATCTCACATGACAAACCATATAACTTGTCAGTTGTCACTCATAATTCAATCGGTAATCATATGATTATATCTTTTGAAAAGGCTGGTACTTATGTTCTGCATTAATAAAATGCCAACGAGAAGCTAACTTAGATAAGGTAGAAGTTTGAAACTTCGGGCCAGAACTCTTTGCCGAGGTTCAAAGATTCAATTTCATATAGAATTAAGTATGCATTTGAGGAATGCGCAAGGATCAATGTCAAAAGTCTTACAACTGATTAAAATAATAAAACTACAATTTTTCAGTAAACAGATGTCACCTTTAAGCGGGCTTTTTGTTGCCTTTGAGAATGAAGAGTCCATGCTTTCATACCAAGTGTGAGCAATAAGTTCGATATCCGGCGCAAAATTGCAATTGATGTGCAAAAAACAATTGTTCGCCCTTGGCCATGAACACTTAAAATGTAATATAAATAAGCTTCTTTATCTTCCTCACTGCACCTATAAAGACAGTAAGCCTAGACAAGTAAGCACATTATTGTACGAATTATAGATTGCATGAGAAGATGCATTGCAACTAACAGAACAGAGAAAACAAAAGGAAAACAACTCTGTTCTAGCAACACTGTTAACTACTTCACAAGACCCATATGTCAGAACTAAAAGAAAGTCTACAGCAATGAGATGAAAGTCTACAGGAACAAGATCACAGCAATGAGATTGACTATAATCCCCACAGCAATGAGATTGACTATAATCCCCTATTAATGGAAGACGGCATAAATGATCAATTAATCTCACCAGGAAAAATAAAACAAAGACATCATACAATGTCAGCCTAACAACAAGCAGAATTTTGCGTCCACTTGGAACATGAATTGATATTGACCCAAAGGTCCAAATGTCAGAAACAATATACAAATTTGAAGCTATTTTGGGTTTCTCCTTTGATGTTTGCTATTCTCTAAGAGGGGCGTCTGAACTCTAAATATGCTTCCAGGTCTTCCAGGTCAAGTATGTGTAAGAAAAATGGTGTAAAGTTATGAAGTGATGAAATATTAAGAAGCGTTTGTGCTTTCTTCTCTTGTTATACTCTTTATATGGATGCCACTGAATGGTGAGTTGTATCAAAGTATCCCTAGAATGTGATCCTTGGACTGGTGATTGTTTCGTCCTATATATCTAGGCTGTGATATCCTTAGACCATAAGCTACATTCCCTAGAAAGAGTATATCTGCAAGTGCGTCAGTTTCCCAGTTTCTCTGTTCCCTATCTACATGGTATACTCCACAGCATAATACAAGCTTTTCCCATTAAAACAGATCATATAAAATTTTACCATCAAAACAGGGCCAGGCCATTTTCAGATTTCCACCGTTATCAAGGCATCAGAGCAACAGATATATACTTTTTTCTGGGATTTACAACAGAGACATCAGAAGACCAAATATAAGAATTGTCTGGCTATATTTGTGGGCCATTCACTCATGCTCCACCGTCAAACCTCATATTGAAGGAAAAAAGTTTAGATAATACTAGCAATTAATGATACATTACCTGAATCTAGAAAGACTTTGAAGTGTATAAATCTTGAATGAAATAAGTGAACTAAAATTTGAAATATTTCAATCTCAAGATGCTAAAGCCTAATTTCACATGTCACCAAGCCATTTACTCATGTATGTCCTTTCTTGAATTTCTTTCTGATCTATCAATCAAGAAATAAACACATAACGTAGTTAAACCAGAAAATGTCTCCAGATGAGCAGTCATATTATGGGAAAGCAATTTAGAAGGCAAACCCCCTGCCCCCCCCCCCCCCCCAACAGGAAAAAATGGTTACACAATTAGAGTAAAAGAAGAAAAGAAGAATGTCAGCTTATTAAGTGCAGAATTAATTAATCAACAATCATTTTGAGGGGCAAACTTTTACTAAATTAATAACAAGAATAAAGGTATGGAAAAGTACTCAATAAATGACTCTTCAAGCTTATCAGCCATAATAGTTGCATTTGTCAAATCAACAATTGCAACATCAGATCTTATTCCTGCTCGCTCCGAAAGTGTTTCAATAGAACTTATTCCTTCAGTGTTAGCCGGTTTTGAAGCTGATGATGACCTCTTAAGTTTTTTACGAAAATTGTCAGATAAAGCTAGTGTGGCAGAGAACACAAACGTTTGCCTCTTCTTCCGCTGCAGATTTGGAACAGTTGTGCAAGTATGATTGGTCTGGGAGGAGTGTTCCGCAGAATTACCAGACATTGGAAGCATGTCAATGATAGACTGTAATTCTCGAAAATGACCATTTGCTATCATTCTATCAGCCTCATCCAGGATGAAAAAAGATAAAGAGTGCAGCTGAAAAGGAAATCGAAAATCTCTCAATCTTTCATGAAAATAACAAAACAAAAATATATAAGAGAAGTAGTTACCTAATGAGTAAGACTCCTATCAACTTAAGTTGATGTCCACCAAACTTCCTAACCACTCATTTATTAATATAAAAAACATTTTCATATCATGCAAGGATCCCTAGGCAATATGAGTGGTTAAAAAGTTTGGTGGACAACTTTTTGCTATCCACTTAAGTTGACACAAGTTTTTCTCGTTACCTAATTCCTTAAAAACCTGAGGCTATTCTTCAAAGAAATATTATTTGGTTTGCACGAGTTCTAGGAACAAAAAGTTTTTATGAATCCTCAAAGAATCAACGCAAGCATAGTGATTGAGGGCATTACAGGACTACAAATTAATTTACCTTGTCAGATTTTTAAACCACGCTGGCAATGCATAAATCTAAACAAAACAACGTGAAACACTCTACATCAGAAGTAGAAAATGCATAACAAAGTATGAATGGCATGTGAAAAACATAAGAATAAGGTGGTTGTCTATTTAGGGAAAAGGAAAAAAAAAAAAGCAAACTCCCATGTTAGAACAGTGTACCAAGTTACCAACACTGAGACAGTGAGACCCCTTGCTGACTAGAAAGGTTCTCCCATTTTATTTGCTCTTTTGAGAACTGAAAGAGATTACATCAGCTGATAGAAGTCTGCTGTGTCCATATGTGTGCATGTGTAATCTCAAAAATATATTCAGTATATAAATCTTTTAAATGGACATGAACCTACCTAATATCTTAAGAAGTCCAAATGAGAATATAAATCACTTCATTTAGAGGAATAAAATTTTAATGATAGGAAGAAGCGTCCAAATGTATGCATAACAATAAACAATTTTTTTTCAACATCATGGATAATGAAGGCAAGAGGAAGTCAGGAGATCAGAAAAGTGGAAAGATTAACCACTAAAGACTGACCTCAACAAGATGTTGATTTCCTCCAGATATAAGATCCCATAATCTTCCTGGAGTTCCAACAATAATTTCAGGCCTTCTTTTTAAAAGCCTTTCCTGCTTTTCTGAAGACATGCCACCAACTATGGGAACAACTTGAATATCAATATTCCTGGATGCCGCTTTTAGATGATCACAGACCTAACAAAAGTATTACCTAAGTAATCAGGGCTGAACAAAGTAATGATAAATATTTTGATAACGGAAGAATGAAGAAACAACAACATCCCCACTCAAATCTTCTTAGAAGATTAAGCACAGAGTAAGAAGTGTGATTAGAATTTTTTCCAACGATTCATCAGAATGGCAATGAAACCTGTATCCAAACTCCATTTGAAATATGAAAAAGCTCATTAACTAAAGTGGAAAAAAATTACAACACAGGCAAAGCATTGTACACAGCCTTAACCATAATATTTGAATGTGCATCCCTTTTGAGTAAATATAAATCCATTGAGAACCTATATGAAGTAAAAACATCTGCGCACGTCACAAAACATATATAGCACCCAAAATGACCGAATGATCTAACATAGTATAATCAGAACATAAAATCAGAGAATATCAGATTTACAAAATAATTAATAGTACTAAAATAAAATGAAAAATTGATCAGGGCATCGAGTAAATAGAGAACATTAAGGAGTAAGAATTCCCAAAAAATATATATATATATATTATATAGAGAGAGAGAGACATACATACACATATACATATACATACATACATACCTGCAAGGCAAGCTCCCTCGTAGGGGTGATTATTAAAGCCCTGAGAGGCCCTCCCTTGAAAATTTCCGCTGAATTCTCTCCATTTTGGAGTGATCTAGTAGCCTTTTCCCGTTCATCAAGAAGGCGTTGCAAAATTGGCAGCCCAAATGCAAGTGTCTTTCCCGAACCTGTCTCTGCTGCACCAATAACATCCTGTCATGCAACTCAGAGTCAGGAAACTTGCAGATAGGACTCCAAGTTGAGATCAAATTTGTAACCCCAACAACAACAAAAAAAGCCAGCACACAGAAGGAAGCATAATATGACAGGAAGAAATGCACTTTGGGGGAAAACACCATCTACAAGCTATTGCAATTTGCAACACATAAATTAACATCTAAATAATACTATGAGAAAGCCAAATCTGAGTTGAAGAAGACATGCCACTAAGAAAGACGAGAGGGTGATAATGTTGGATTTAAATCTAATTAAATCTATTTGTTAGCACATATAGGATTTAAATCTAATTAAATCTATTTGTTAGCACATATATTATATCAGTGTGTTGCTATCTTTCAGTTGACACGCATAGAGTGATCAATCAGGTAATTTGGTCAATGAGTATTTAAATATGTCATGGGCTAAATGTGCGGATACCATGTTGTAATTATAATTTGATGAGGGGCCAAATTATAAAAGTACAACAACTATAAATAAGGGGTTATGGTCCCTAATCTAGGGTTACATTCTCTAATTCTCTTCACCCCCATCTAGAGAGAAATTTGGCTGGAGAGACCCTCAAGATTAGAAGATCAAACCTAATTCAGATCCGTGCAAATTCTTCATGGATTCAGGTATTGCTTCCACTTACTGTTGTGTTTATTCTCTTTAAATTAATCATGGTTTTATGGATTAGATCTCAGTTTTAGATCTAACAAGTGGTATTAGAGCCACCTGTGATTAATTCTTAGGGGTTTAAGTTTTAAAATTAGGTTTTTTATCTTAAAAATCTCTGGTTTTTCTCAGAACTATTCATGGATGAACAGTAAAGTTCTGTGAACAGTAAAGTTTTAAATCTTGTTGGATTTTTTCTTCGATTTTTTTGGGATCTGGATCAAGAAGTCATCTTTTTCCGATTCTGGATCTGATTTTGAAATAAAATCGAGGAATTTTTTGGATCTATATTTTGTTTGGTCGTCGGTCCCCGTGCTCCTCGCCAGCGAAGTGTCGCTAGTGGCCTCACCCTCGACTCCGACGGCGACGACGACGGCAGAAAACCCTAGGGTTTCGACCTTTGGGTGCGGAAGCAATGGCGGCGGCGGTTTCAGAATAAAACCTCAAGGAGTTCGTGCGTGAAAACGCAGCGAAAAATTAGGGCAAAAGGAGGGAGTTACCTCAATTTTCAGGTGAGCCTTGTGCTCAATCCAAACGAACCTCGTGTTCGTTCTCAAGTCGAACCATGCGTTCGTTCTCAAGTCGAACCCTGCGTTCATTCTCAAGTTGAGGCTTGTGCTCGATCAAAACGAACCCTGCGTTCGTTCTCAAGTCGAACCTCGCGTTCGTTCTCAATTCGAACCTCGCGTTCATCCTCAGGCGAGCCTCGTGCTCAATCAAAACGAACCCTGCGTTCGTTCTCAAGTCGAACCTCGCGTTCGTTTTCAAGTCGAACCCCGCGTTCATCCTCAGGCGCGCCTTGTGCTCAATCCAAACGAACATCGCGTTCGTTCTCAAGTCGAACCTCGCGTTCATCCTCAGGCAAGTCTTGTGCTCACTTTAAACGAACCTCGTGTTCGTTCTATTGTTCTTCTTTTCCGTCGGGTGAAAGAAGAAGGCTGTAGGCAATTTGAGTTAAGCATAGCCCACTTAACTCTATTTGGTTTTGGGCCCATTTTTGGTATGCTTAATTTGATTAATTAAGCTATGAGACCCTAATTAAGTTTTTGAAAATTTTTTTGTTAATTTGAATTAAATTATTTAATTTGAATTTAAATTGGTAGTTAATGAATTATTTAATTCAAATAATATGATACTAAGGTATTATATTTGTCTCTCATTCCAAATGATTAATTGAAACAAGAAGTTATCAAAGTAACCTCTCTTGTGTAAATTATTCATGAGGAATGTTAGATGGTTGTGTGTATGTTTTTTCGTATAAATATTTAATCGGCCCAAAGGAAGGTTAATATTTATTTAGACTGCATACACATCTGTGATGATAAATGTGTGATAATTATAAGGTTCACATGTGAATAATGAATCGATCCAAAGATAGTTTCATTATTTGACATGAGTTATTATCAATGTTTGATCATTGTAATAAGGTATCACTTATAAATAAATATTATTGTTCAAAAACTTGATATTAATGTTGTGTCAGATATCTTGTGATAAGATTTGTCATTATTTGAATTTTATTGATTACTAATTACAGTTAATAATGTGAGTATCTTTTGTTTATTTCAGTTAATGCATCTGCTGTAACAATTTCTGCTAACATCAACTCAATTCTCATGCTCAATGGGACAAATTTTAATGTTTGGAAAAAGAACATACTAATTCTTGGCTGCATGGATCTAGACCTTGCATTAAGAACTGAGCAACCCCAACCTCTCAATGTGGATAGCACTCCTAATGTTAAGGAGTATGAGAAGTGGGAGCGTTCAAATCGCATGAGTCTCATGATCATTAAGCGCGGCGTTTCGGAAGCCTTCAGGGGTATAGAATCCGAAGGGATTACTAAGACTAAAGATTTTCTTACCAAAATTGAGAAACGTTTTGTGAAAAACGATAAGATAAAAACAAGCACGCTTTTAGCTCGCTTGATTTCGATGAAGTATAAGGGCAAAGGAAATATCAGGGAGTACATTATGAAAATATCTCATATTGCTTCAAAACTTAAGGCACTTAAACTCGATCTTTGTGATGAGTTATTGGTGCATCTGGTTTTATTGTCTCTTCCTGCACAGTTTAAGGTCAGTTATAACTGTCAAAAGGAGAAATTGACTCTAAATGAGCTCATTTCATACTGTGTGCAAGAAGAAGACAGGGTGAAGCAAGATAAGACAGAAATTGCTCATTTGGCTTATGCCTCTAAGGATAAGAGTAAGAAAAGAAAGAATGATAATGAAGCTGCTAAGGGTCCAGTTCAAAAGAAACAACATAAGAATAATCAGGGTTGTTTCTTCTGTAATAAGCCTGGACACGTAAATAATGATTGTACCAAATAACACGTCTGGCATGCTAATAAGGGTACGTTCCTTACTTTGGTCTGTTTTGAGGTTAATTTAGCTTCAGTACCTAGAAATACATGCTAATAAGGGTACGTTCCTTACTTTGGTCTGTTTTGAGGTTAATTTAGCTTCAGTACCTAGAAATACTTGGTGGTTAGACTCTGGTGCTACTAGCTTCAGTACCTAGAAATACTTGGTGGTTAGACTCTGGTGCTACTACTCACATAAGTATTTCTATGCAGGATTGCCTGAGCTACCGAAAGCCAAGTGATGTTGAAAGACACATCTTTGTGGGCGATAGACAATCGGTAGATGTGAAAACAATTTGGCACTTTAGGTTGCTGTTAGAAACTGATTCTTATTTGGATTTAAAAGATACTTTTGTAGTACCGACTTTTAGACGGAATTTGATTTCTGTTTCTGTATTGGACAAATCAGGTTTTTCTTGTTTATTTGGAAACAATCAATTCAGCTTATCTTTTAATTCAAATGTTGTGGGAACTGGTGACTTGAGTACTTTTGACAACCTATATTTGCTTGATACAATTGCTTCTTATAATAAAACTTTGCATGTGGAATCACATAGTACTAAGCGTAAATTAAATTAAAAAAAATTCGGCGACATTATAGCATAAGCATTTGGGTCATATCTCAAAAGGTAGAGTTGAGCGTCTTGTGTCTGATGGCATTTTAAATTCCCTTGATTTTTCGGATTTTGACGTTTGTGTTGAATGTATCAAGAGAAAACAAACCAAAGTTAAGAAATTAGATGCTAATAGATCTTCAGAAATCTTAGAATTGATACATACAGATATTTGTGGGTCATTTCCTACAACATCTTAGAATGATTAATAATATTTTATATCATTCATAGACGATTACTCACGTTATGGGTACCTATATCTCATTCATGAAAAATCTGAGTCTATGGACATGTTCAAAGCTTTTAAAGCTGAAGTTGAGAATCAACTTAACAAAAGAATTAAAACTGTTAGATCTGATTATGGTGGTGAGTACTATGACAGATATGATGGTTCAGGTGAACGTTCAAGACCATTTGCTAGATACCTAAAAAAATATAGTATCGTCCCACAGAACATCATGCTGGGTTCACCTAGCATGAATGGTGTAGCTGAAAGACGAAATATGACTCTTAAGGATATGATAAGAAGTATGATTGCTTATTTTTCTTTACCAGAGTCACTCTGGAGAGAAGCACTTAAGACAGCAGCTTACATTCTGAACAGAATACCAAGTAAAACAGTTGCTAAAACACTTTATGAGCTTTGAACTGATCGAAAGTCCAGTTTAAAGCACCTACATATTTAGGGATGTCCAGCTGAGACAATGCCTTATAGGCCAAATGAAAAAAATTGGACTCCAAAACAGTTAGCAGCTACTTTATTGGGTGCTCTGAACGTTCTAGGGGCTATAAGTTTTATGATCTCACACTAGGAAATATTTTTAAGACGGGGACAGCAACATTCTTTGAGGATGTTGAGTTTACGGGAGAAATAAGGTTAAAGACATTGTTTTTGAGGAGGAATTAGCTTCAGACCCAATCCATACAGTTACCTTTGACAACATTCAGGTTTCTATACCTATTGCTCAAGAAGTAAATCCAGAACCTCAAGATGATAATGTTGAACCACTCCCTATTCCAGAAGAACAAACTCAACAACCTCAAGAACCAGTGCCATTAAGGAGATCCATGAGAGAAAGGAGAAATGCTATTCCGGATGATTATATTGTATTTCTCCAAGAACATGAGAAAAATAATGAAATGTTGAAAGATGATCCAATCAACTTTCTTCAGGTCATGAAAAGTTCCAACTCTCATCAGTGGATTGATGCCATGAATGAAGAGTACAAGTCTATGCAAGACAATATGGTTTGGGAACTTGTCTCATTGTCAGAAGGTGCAAAACCAATTGGTTGTAAATGGATTTTTAAAACCAAACGGGATGCAAATGGTAATATGGAAAGGTATAAGACACGTCTTGTAGTTAAAAGCTATACTCAAAAGAAAGACATTGATTATACAGAGATTTTATCTCCGGTTTTATCGAAAGACTCCTTTAGAACAATCATGACACTTGTTGCTCATTATGATCTTGAGTTACATCAGATGGATGTTAAAGACTGCGTTTCTCAATAGAGACATTGATGAAATGATCTATATGATATAACCAGAAAACTTTGTGTCAGGAGATCCAAAGAATATGGTTTGTAAATTAAGAAAATCCATCTATGGACTCAAGCAAGCTCCTCGTCAATGGTATCATAAGTTTCAACAAATAATTATCTCGTTCGATTTTGAGATGAATGTTATTGATGACTGTGTATATCACAAGTTCAGTGGGAGTAAGTATATTTTTCTGATTTTGTATGTCGATAACATATTGCTTGCTACTAATGATATAGGCATGTTGCATGAAACCAAGAGATTTCTATCAAAGAATTTTGAGATGAAAGATCTTGGGAACGCCTCTTTTATATTAGGAATTCAGATACATCGAGATCGTTCTCGAGATATACTTGGATTATCACAAAAGAACTATATCGATAAAGTACTTAAAAGGTTTGGCATGCAAAACTGCAGACCAGGAGACACCCATGTTGCTAAAAGAGACAAGTTCAATCTCAATCAGTACCCTAAAGGTAATCTTAAAATTCAGGAAATACAGAAGATTTCTTATGTTTCGGCTGTAGGAAGTCTAATGTATGCTCAGGTGTGCACGCGTCCGAATATTACGTACATTGTTGGGATGTTAAGCAGATACTTAAGCAACCCTGGTATGGATCATTGGATAGCAATCAAAAGGATTATGAGATATCATTAAAAAATAAAAGATTATATGCTCACATACAGAAAATAAGAACAGTTAGAGGTCATTGGGTATTCTGATTCTGATTTTGTTAGATGTTAAGATAGCAGAAAATCTACAACAGGCTACATTTATATGTTAGCAGGAGGAGCTATATCATGAAAAAGTGTTAAACAGACACTCGTAGCTTTTATATGTTAGCAGGAGGAGCTATATCATGAAAAAGTGTTAAACAGACACTCGTAGCTTCCTCCACTATGACAGCAGAGTTTGTAGCTTGCTATGAGGCATAAACAGACACTCGTAGCTTCCTCCACTATGACAGCAGAGTTTGTAGCTTGCTATGAGGCATCAAATCATAGTATATAGTTACGAAATTTTATCACTGGACTACGAATTTTAGAAAATATTAAAAGACCACTAAGGTTATTCTGTGATAATAAATCTGCAGTTATACATTCCAATAACAACAGGAGCTCAACTAAGTCAAAATATATTGACATTAAGTTCATAGTTATGAAAGAAAGGGTACAGAGTGGACAGATATCCATAGAGCATATTAGAACAAACTCCATAATAACAGATCCTCTTACTAAAGGATTGCCACCTAAGGTCTTTCATGAGCACACTGCTCATATGGGTGTGGTGTTATTCGAGGACATCATGATTTAGTGAGAGTTTATAATTTTCTAGTGCTTTGTGTTTGGTTGTATTGTCTGATCAGAATAAAATATTCAGTTAAGACACTCTGTTTCATTATGTTTGGTTTTGACCTCACTAAAGTTTAAGGTAGGACCAGTTGAAAATATACATATACTGATCACATTGTATGTAATTTTTATGCTGCACTTCCATGATTGATCTATGTCGTTTGATTATATTAGTATATGTGACCATTGATGGGTTTAGTCACGATAAATGTGACGAATGCCCGCTTTAATCCTATATTGATATAGTTAATGAACGAGATTGTTTTAGAAATACCCTTATCTATGATAGCAATTTTTTAGCTCATAAGGTTATACACACTTTAAGGAAATATATGATGACCAAGTGGGAGATTGTTGGATTTAAATCTAATTAAATCTATTTATGGGCACATATGTTATATCAGTGTGTGTTGCTATCTTTCAGTTGACACGCATAAAGTGATCAATCAGGTAATTGGGTCAATGGGTATTTAAATATGTCATGGGCTAAATATGCGGATACCAGGTTGTAATTATAATTTGATGAGGGGTCAAATTATAAAAGTATAACAACTATAAATAAGGGGTTATGGTCCCTAATCTAGGGTTACATTCTCTAATTCTCTTCACCCCCATCAAGAGAGAAATTTGGCTACAAAGACCCTCAAGATTAGAAGATCAAACCCTAATTCAGATCCGTGTAAATTCTTCATGGATTCAGGTATTGCTTTCGCTCACTGTCATGTTTACTCTCTTTGAATTAATCATGGTTTTATAGATTAGATCTCAGTTTTAGATCTAACAGATAACGTTAGAGGAAAACCTGAATAAAAATTCTAAGCATGAAAACAGTGAGATAAATAAATATATAAAAAAGTTGCACAGGATTTAAATTGAATTGAACTATGGCTTAACACCTTAACTAAGAATAGACCAACCTTTCCTTGATGGGCAGCAGCTGGAATGCAAGCTTTCTGGATGGGTGTGGGTTCTCTAAATCCCAATCTGCGCATTGATTTAATGAGAAGAGAATGAAGCCTCAATTCCTTCCATGCATAGACGTCATCATCATTAAGAAGCATTCCATCCTCAGCATCATCCTCAATGTCATTCCTTGCAGGTTCATCAGCCAAAATGGGAACTAGCGCTGGGCATTGCTCTGCATGCAAAAGAACGGAAACAACTGAAAACTACTGTGAATTTTAAGAAAACATGCCCTGAATGAAGTTGTTTGTGATGGTACTCCCTTATCGAGGACAAAAAGCTACAGATAAACTTGAACATAATGTAATAACTTTAAATAATTCAATGTCCTTTACAGCAAATTTTGACTAAACAGCTTCTTTTGGCCCTGTTTCTCGCATTTCTCTTTCAATTGTTAGTGCTCTTCATGTGCTTAAATTAAAAACCCACCTTTTTCTCTTCAACTTATTCACAATGCTTAAATAGCTTCTAAATATAATTTTATATATTTCGCATCCTAACTTCTATATAATAAGCTTACATTTTTTCCCCTTTTTTTTAAGTGAAAAAAAAAGCGAAAGATAAATTTAAATGAACCACCTTCATCATCAATTTCAGTGGACCCTCCATTCTTCTTCTTCTCCTTATTCTTCTTCCGTTCCCTCCTACTCTTCTTCTTCTTTTTCTTCTTAGCATCATCCTCCTCGGCCCGATCAACGCGTGGATCATCCAAATCTCCGCTCCCTTTCTTCCTCTTCTTCGAATCCACACTCCCCTTCGGATCCAGACCCGATACTCCCCCTATGAACCCGTAATCCGCCTCGTCGATCTCTTCCAGCGTCAGAAACCCTAGACACGAAAAGCAAAAATCAATTCCTTATTCCATTTTTTTTGAAATAACTGATGACGCATGCTCACCTCCTTCGTCGCCGCCGGCGAGGAGAGCGAAGGCATCGTCGTCGCCGGCGAAGGACTCGTTCCATGAGAGAGAGCTGAGGCGGGCCGGGTCGGGTGCGCTTAGCTCGCGAGTCTTCTTTGGTTTCGTTGCCTTCTTCCTTTGGTTTTGCTTGGATGAAGAGGACTCGGCCATTGGTGTCGAGCTTCACTAGGGTTTTTGGTGGATGCAGCAAGGTTTTGTGTATTTACAGTAGGAGCGTATCGGGTCTGGTTGATTTCTGATTCTCTAGTCGTGCCTGTAAGGGCCCGTTTGGCCGTGAAACAGGAGTTGAAATGGGCAGAAAGCCTATCAAAACTGATAATTTTTTACAAGTTTTTTTTTGTAAAAACGTTTTAAAAATAACGTTTTTGTAAGAAAACTTGTCAAAACTGACAGTTTTAACAGACTTTCCTAAACCCTCTTCAGCAACCAAACGGGCCCTTAAGGGTTTCCCCCTATACATATCCTCAATGTGTTTGTAGGTATTTTAAGGGTGAGTTAGTCACCTAGAACTTAAAATTAGAATTGAGATAAATTTTTAAGGTGGTAGTCATATAGAACTAAAACTAGAATAAATTTTTATAGTGTTAGTTAAGTAAAACTCTAACAAAACTAGAATTGGGATAATAGTACAAAATTATCCTACATTTTTTTTTTCTATACAAAAATGAGAGTTCTAGTCTCTCTAATTATTCTAAGTTTTAACTTGGAACTAGGTGGTAAAAAATTAGAACTCAAATTTATTTTGTTATTTTTTATTTTTTATATTTCTTTTTCTTTCTTTACTTCTTTCCTATTATGGTTATCACCATCATTATAATAATAATTGTCAATATTATATAGTCTAACCAAACGTTATTTAATAGTAAAGAACATTCTTGTAGTAAGCAATTATCAATCAATAATAGTAAGTTTAAAATACATAAATAGTATTTATATCTTTAAAATTCATAAATATATATTTCATGATTATAAAAAGGTATCCCACGTTATTTTATCAAAATACCTCGCTTCACAAAATTGTTCATATTTATCCTATTAAAATATCCCACTAGCGAAAAAATTTCTACTTTAACAATTATTCCATTTTGCATGAAAATGTCCCAATTGACTAACACCCCCTAAGAGTTTCTTTTTGTTTCTTCAAGATTACCCTCAACTTAGTCGTTGTTAAAGTGCTACTAGGTTTAGGGTTAAATTAACTCAATATTTTCATCTTAGGGGTTATTTCATGGATTAATTTTAATGCATGTCACGGATCTAAAAAAAATCCATATTCATAATCTTTGCTTGTTGATATGGGTGTATCTCCTTCCTTGCTTTGGGAGCTTAGCGATCCTCACGGGAGCTTGAGAATAGATGATTCTCATGCTATCTTGAGAATAGAGACGTGGACGAAGTCGTTGAAGGTGGCAACGTCGAAGAGTACATGAAAACTACAGGAAAACACTTTGGACTTCCAACGGTCGACCACACGTGACGCCGCGGTCGAGCACGAACGTGCACAGCTCAGGAAAAGTCTCTAGACTTTTCGCGGTCGACCGCGAACGTGCACAGGTCAGGGAAAGTCTCTGGACTTTTCACGGTCGATCGCGACGTACTCTGCTGTCGACCGCCAAAACTCTGTAGGCGATTTTTGTCCAGCTCGTTTGCTGCGATCGACCGTGATGGGTTCTGCGGTCGACCACCAAACCCTGTAATCGATACTGAGTTTCGATCGTTTTGTCCGGTCGATCGCATGTGTCTCTGCGGTCGACCGCGAGTCGGGCTAGGCCTGGCTTCTAGTTTCCTGTTCGCTTTAGGTTTTGTGTTTGGTACATATTAAAACATGACTTTTCTAGGATTTTCTAAGCAGATTGTATTTAGAAAGGAGATCAAGGAGATTGTTTTTTTATCTAGAGAGATTGTGAGAGAAAGATTTGTAATCTAATTATTTCTCATAATCTAGAGAAGATATTTTCCTTCGACCAACTCAACTCTTATGTGTTTTCTTTTGTCTTCTTCACAACCCACTCTTGATAATTCCGCAATCAAGAGTGCTCGTCCGAAGACTCGTATCAAGTTGGTATCAGAGCGATTAGATCCTGTGAAAGGGGGGGTCATGCGTATAGTCCTTACTCGATAGTAATACAAAAAGCTAGGCGAGATCCTTATTTCTTTGGAAGGAGTTTAGAGATTAAGGAAGAAGATGACTGAAGGGGATAGTTCAGCAAGACTAGATGCATCGGAGAAACAGATGGAGACAATGAGTTCGACTCTCACACAGCTCGTCAATTTTTTAAGGAAAGGACAAAAAGGAGGAATTTTCTTCAAAAGACAAGAAGAGACTTGTAGAGTCCGATGGGAAAGACGAGGAATCTGATTCTGAAGAGGAGGCCGAAATTGTCAAGACTGTTCCACATCAAAGGGGTAAGGGTTCTTACCAGAATTTAAAAATAGACTTCAATATGGAGATTCCTATTTATGATGGGAGTGTCAGAGAGGCTCGATGATTGGATCGAGCGGATGAATATATATTTTACCCTCTACGGATATTCATCCAAGGAGAAACTCTTCTTCGCGACTTTAAAGCTTTCGGGGCATGCATTGATATGATGAAAATCTTATTGCAAGCAGGAGAAGAAGGCAGTATCGTGGAGCAAATTTAAGGAGCTATTGAGGAAACAATTCGGAGCTACTGAGGAAACAATTCTACCCGGTGGGATTCCTTAAGGAGCGTTGGTACAAGTAACACGAATTGCACCAAAGGTTCAACCAAACCGTTCAAGAGTATACGACAGAATTCCAGCAGCAGACGATGGTCCTTAACATCACGACGGAGGAATATTCTATTTTTATGAAATATATGGCGGGTCTGAATGAATATTTTTGAAAGGAGATGAAGTTGTTCATGGTCGAGTCCATTGCAGAAGTAAGTGTGAAGGCCATTTGTCATTGAGGGTAGGCAAAATAAGGGCAACGAGACGAAGGGGGACTCCAAACAAATGGGAGGCAAGTCTAGTGGCTCTCAACCGAAGGAAGAGAAGAAGAAGGGTGATTTAGGAAAGGCAGGATCGACATGCAATCATTGCAAACAGACAGGACACGTAGGTGATCGTTACTGGGAGAAGTATCCTCATCTGAAACCGAAGGGATTGAAGAAAAAGGATGAGAAGAAGGCATACATGGTAGCACAAGGTCCGAAGGAAGTTCCCAAGATGACAGAACTCAATAGCAGTCTCAACCTTATGGCGGGAAAACAGGCCACGACCGAGGATGAAAACCCAAAGGAGCAACTATTTATTTTGAAGTTGCAGGTCAAGACCAGCTTGGTTGATGCCATAGTGGATCCAGAGAGCCAAAAGAATTTGATATCCGAAGCCTTAGTTTAGAAGTTGGGATTGAAGACAGTCAAACATCCGAACCACTATCCTTTAGGGGGGATTCAGAAGGAGGCAGGATTGAGTGTGATCAACCAGTGTACTTTTAGATTTGCACTCCACGAGTCGTATATTGACGAGGTCACATGCCACGTCGTTCCGTTGGATGTTTGCCAAGTAATACTGGGCAATCCTTATTTATGAGATAGGTATGCGGTCTACGATAGGTGGGTTCAGAAGTATACGTTCACCAAGGATGGTCAACAATTCATATTTTGTTCAGCATCTCTTCCACAAGAGACGAGTTTGGTAATGGTGACTCAGGCAAAGAGGCTAGTGTATGCGAGCAAAAAGTATGTATTGTTATCATTAGGCCTTATGAGGACCAGCTGAGTAGGGTGTGCTTGACTACCTTGAGCAAGCTTCAGGAGGGAGATCTTAACAGATTGAAGAGCAAGTACACAGACTTATTTACGAAGATCATGGGACTACCACCATGATGGGGTGTGGAGCATGAGATTATGTTGACCGACGAGAGTTCATTACCGAATGTAGGTCGATACCGTACATCTGTAGAGGATTCTGAGGAGATCAAGAGGCAGGTTCAGGAGCTTTTGGCAACGGGAGTGATTGTGCTGAGTTGTTCACCTTGAGGGTCACTAGTATTATTGGTGCCCAAAAAGGATGGAGGCTGGCGCATGTGCATGGATTATCGGGCACTCAATAAGATAATCATCAAGAATCGCTACCCATTACCTAGGATTGATGATCTTATGGACTAGTTGGAGGGAGCGAGGTTCTTCACGAAGTTGGATTTAAAGTCTTGTTATCATCAGGTAAGGATTCGGGAGGATGACACTTGGAAGACCGTGTCAAGACCAAGCAGGGCCTGTTTGAGTGGTTGGTGATGTCGTTTGGATTGTGCAACGCTCCGGCTACCTTTATGAGACTCATGAATGATTTGTTGTGACCCTTTGTAGAGATTTTGTGATAGTTTACCTCGATGATACCTTTGTGTACAGCAGGACCTGGGAGGAGCATCTTGTTCATGTCGAGAATGTGTTTTAAGTGCTGTAAAACGGACAACTGAAGCTCAATAGGAAGAAGTGCGAATTTGGGAAGGATGAGTTGGTGTATCTCGGCTTCATCATGGGGAAGGGCCAGCGGAGGATAGATCTAAGTAAGGTGGCAGTGATCACAAAGTAGCTGACACCTAGGACAGTGACGGAGGTGAGAAGCTTCATAGGAGCTTGCCAGTATTTACGCAAGTTCATTCGACATTTTTTGACTTATGCGACACCTTTACATGGCCTTACGAAGGCGAAGGTTCGGTTTGAGTGGGGGAGGACGCATGAGGAAGCTTTCAGTTACTAAAGAGGAAGATCTCGGAGGCACCAGTGTTGGCATTACTAAATTTACAGAGGACCTTCGAGGTAGAGACCGACGCTTCTAGTTATGCTATGGGTGATGTGTTGATACAAGATGAGAAGCCAGTGGAGTACCATCCAGAGATGTTCACGGGTGCTATTCAAAACTACCCCACATACTGTTAGACCCTAGAGGGGGGTGATTAGGGTCTTATGCTAATCTAATCCGATTTTATGCCAATTAAAATTAATTAACAAATATATTCTTGCAAGATAGATGTACAAAGAGTTATGTGCAAGAATATGCAATATACACAAGGTGATATATCCTAGCAAAGAGGTATACTATATGATATATGCAAGGATATGCAAACACAAGGGTAACATAAACAAATGATATAGTGGATGAAATAAACAATGAGAGAAAGGCTATAAAGATGAGCAAATATAAGTGTGCTAAGCCAAACTCAAACAAGCAATATGATCACGGAGT